CCCGCCCGGGTATCTGGTTCAGCACTGTCCACGCCTGGAGGGGAGGGGAGGGGGGGTCGCTTTGGTTTACCGAGCCTCCATCTCCCTCACGGGACTTCCGGTCCCTTCGAGGCCAGGGCTGGAGTGCCTCTACTTGGTGTTGGGCGACCGAGACAGACTGGGGATTCTGTTGGTGTACCGTGCACCCTTCTACCCAACAGTCTCCCTGCCTGAGCTGACGGAGATCGTCTCGGACCTGGTGTTGAGGACCCCCAGGATGGTGGTCCTGGGGGACTTCAATCTCCATGCCGAGACTGGTCCGACCGGGGCGGCCCAGAACTTCATGGCCTCCATAGTGGCCATGGGGCTGTCTCAACATGTCATTGGCCTGACCCATGAACGTGGACATACTCTGGACCTGGTTTTCTCAACGGAGCAGGAAGAGGGGGGGTCTGAGGGTGAGGAATTTATGTCTGACACCCCTGTCATGGTCAGATCACTTCCTCGTGAGGTTTGTGCTCGAGAGTGGCCTCTCCCTCTGTAAGGGTGCGGACCTGATTGTGTGGGTCAGCCCCCGGAGCTGGGTGGATCCAGACGGATTCCTGGGGGCCCTGGGGGAGTTTCCGGCTGACAAGACTGGTGCTCCTGTCGAGGCCCTGGTCGAACTGTGGAACGAGGAGATGACCAGGGCTGTTGACACGATCGCTCCTAAGCGTCCTCTCCCACCGGGCAGAGCCCGCTCTTCCCCTTGGTATACACCTGAATTGTGGGCGATGAAGCAGGCTGGGAGACGGCTAGGGCGTAGGTGGAGGAGATCACGGGATGAATCTGACCGAACACACTTAAGAGCCCATTATTGGGCCTATGCTGTGGCGGTGAAGGCGGCGAAAAATTTTTTTTCTCCGTTTCCATTGCCTCTTCAAAATGCTGTCCGGCGGAGCTTTTTTGGGTGGTACAAGGGCTGGTCCATCCTGGCCCTAAGAAAGATCCGGTTCCACCATCGACGGCCCGCTGTGACGACTTTGCCAAGCATTTCAGGGAGAAAATCGCTCAGATTCGTCACGAGCTAGACTCTACTAGTGTTTCAAAGGCTTCTGGGGAGATACCAATGTCGCCGTCTGGTCCAAAATTAATGGATGAATTTCAGTTATTGCGGCCTGATGATGTGGACAAGGTGCTTGGACGAGTACATCCCACCACTTGCCTATTGGACCCTTGCCCGTCTTGGCTAATTAGCAATGCCAAGCACGGGATTGGGACCTGGATCTTGGAAGTGGTTAATGCCTCTCTGAGGGAGGGCCGGGTACCTGCCCCTTTAAAGGAGGCGGTAGTCCGACCGGTCCTGAAGAAAGCGTCACTGGATCCAGAGATGGCCACTAATTATAGACCAGTGGCCAACATCCCATTTCTGGGCAAGGTGTTGGAGCGGGTGGTGGCGGGACAACTCCAAGCCCTCTTGGATGAAACTGATTATCTGGACCATTTCAGTCCGGCTTCAGACCCGGGTACGGTACTGAATCTGCCTTGGTCGCCCTGTATGATGACCTGTGCAGGGAGAGAGACGGGGAGTGTGTCCCTGTTAGTTCTCCTGGACCTCTTAGCGGCTTTCGATACCATCGCCCATGGTATCCTTCTGGATAGGCTAGCGGGACTGGGGGTTGGAGGCACTGCTTGGCAGTGGTTCCGCTCCTATCTCAATGGCCGATTCCAGAAGGTGGTGCTGGGGGACTGTGGCTCTGCGCCATGGCAGTTATGCCATGGAGTCCTGCAGGGCTCCATTTTGTCCCCCATGCTATTTTACATCTACATGAAACCGCTGGGAGAGGTCATCAGGAGACGCTGAAGACACCCAGCTCTACCTCTCGTTCTCCACCAATCCAGGTGAGGTAGTGGCTGTGCTGAACCGGTGCCCGGCCGAGGTGATGGGCTGGATGAGGGCCAATAAACTGAAGCTCGATCCAGACAAGATGGAGGTCCTGTTGGTTGGTGGATCAGGCTTCGGAGAGGGTAAATTGAACTTAGTCCTGAATGGGGTTGCACTCCCTCTTACGGACAAGGTCCGCAGCTTGGGAGTGCTCCTCGACCCAGAGCTTTCACTGGAAGCTCAGGTGACTGCAGTGGTGAGGAGCGCTTTCTTTCAGCTTCGGCTGAACCATCAGCTGCGTCCCTACCTGGAGAACGAATGCCTGGCGACAGTGACACACGCATTGGTAACTTCCTGACTTGACTTCTGTAACGCGCTCTACGTGGGGCTGCCCTTGAAGACGGTCCAGATACTTCAATTGGTTCAAAATAGAGCTGCCAGGCTGCTGACGGGGACTGGGCGTTATGTTCACATGACTCCAGTTCTCCGTCAGCTTCACTGGCTTCCCATTGAAGTCCGGGCCCAATTCAAGGTGTTGGTTATGACCTATAAAGCCCTTAACGGCTTGGGTCCTGGTTACCTGAAGGAGCGCTTATGTCCATATATGCCCGCCCGCCCCTTGAGATCAGCAGGAGAGGCTCTTCTCCGGGAACCCTCCGTGAAAGAAATTAGGAGGGTAGGTACTCGGAGGAGGGCTTTCTCTGCGGTGGCGCCCAATCTATGGAATGCGCTCCCCGGAGAGGTCCGCCTGGCGCCGTCGTTATTTGTTTTTCAGTGCCAGGCGAAGACCTTTTTATTCAAACGTTATTTTAATTGTTAATATTATTTATTTATTTTATTCTTTGGCCAGGGCAACTTAATTTATACTGTTAAATTATATTGTTTTATATTATGTTATTTATGTATGACTGTGAGCTGCCCCGAGGCTTTGGTGAATGGGGCGGCATAGAAGTTCCCTAAATAAAGTAAATAAATAAATAGATGATGCTGGCAGCGCGTAAGCCCTGGACAGAGCTTCAGGCATTTGGAAACTGAGTGAGCAAACCTCCCTATTTGCAGTGCAGGGGATCCTTCCAGAAGGCCCTCCGTGTCCAAGTCCTCCTCAATAGAAGCTCGGATGCTGTCGGTGCCTTTTTCTTTAAAACTGGGAAGCACCCCCCCCCCCAGCTCCTTAGTATTCAAAATGGGGAGAGAAGACAGGGGGGCTGGAGAGCCCCACCACAAGGCTAGTCACGAACCGTGCCAAGCGGAGGGTGAAGGGTCTAGGCAGGAGAAAAGGAGAAAGCGAGAAGCAGGCGATACCGAGCGCTGCAGAGGGTGGGCTGCGGGGAGAAATCTAAACAGTGCAGTTTTAATTACATTCCATTAAATCTTTCGGGCCTGCGTTTTGCTACACATTCTAATGGTAATGCCGGGACATCTGCATAGAGGTCCTTTTCTCATCAAAGATGGCTCTATCAAAGACACTCCTGGGAAACCCTTCACCTTTGACCCCTGGGGTCAGGGCCGACACAGTAGCCCCATAGTCTGCGCTGCTGTAGAGAAGCGGTGTCCGTTTTCCTGCTCAAACCTGACCAGCTTTTCGCAACAGCGGCTAATTTTTTTATGTGAACGGCGTCCTGGGTTTCTTGTGGGGGTGGGTGGGTTCGTGTGCTCTTGATGTGTGTATCAGATGCCTGAGAAAAAGCATCCTTTTAACGATCCGCAATGCTTTGCACGAGACACCGAGCGCACCCCTTTTCCGAGAGCAGCTCTTGACCACGCATTTATACTCCCTTGGAGAGCTTCGAGCCAGACCCTGGCCGTGATTTCTCTGCCCCACAGCAGGATGCCGTCCCTGCTCTCCCAAGCCTGTCCCAGGGAACTGGCAATGAATGCGCAAGGAAGCGGCGGTGTGGACCCAGCCGCCTGCAGTCCCTGGGGGCTGCTTCGCGCAAAGTGGTTGTGCTGACCACACGCACAATGCTTTGCAACCGGCATTGCTCCTGCCACGGACAACCACAAGCCGCCGCGGGCCGGGTCTGCCGCAGGGTCCAGGGCTGGATGCGGGGGGCGGGGGCAGCGCGGAGGGACGCCGGCGCCCTCGAGACTCCTGCGAGCCAAGCCCAAAAGCCTTGTGCTCACCTTTTCCCTGCAGGGCTAGCCTTCTGATGCCAGGAGATTTCTCAGGTGTGTGCATGTGTGTGTGTGGGGGGGGGATGTCTCAACAGGGGAGGGGCACCTACAGACTGAAGAGCTGCTCTGTATTCCTGCGCATTGGAAGAACTTTATCACTGAATTCGCAGCTCATTCTGTATCTGCAGATGCAGCCTCTGCTGGTTAGAGAGGGAGAGAGAGATTTAATGAAGGCACAAAAGAGAGTCTTTCCAACAGTGAAGGGCTGAATGCAACCACCAGGCACAGGAATAGTCAGCCTTTCAACTACCAGAACAAAGGATTTGAACAAAGTCAACAGGCGAGGTAGAGAGACATGGCTGCCCCTCCTCCTCCTCCTCCTCCATAGAGTCCTTCACGGCTGGCCACTCTTGCGCCTTCCCAGCGAGGCTCACAGTGCGGGACAGTAAACACTGAGCATCCACAGACAATCACCCCCCCCCACTTTAAGTTTAGGCAATATTAAAACAAACTCGTTAAAAGGAATGCAAAGCAACACTGTGTGTTTCAAATAGAGAGCAACAGCAACTAGCGCAAAACCTTTTCCACTGAAAGCGGGGGCAGTGTTTTTAAAAGCCACGGCCACACTTCTCCCGGGAGGGATCCCGCAGTGTGGGGCCACCGCAGGAAAGGCCCCGTGTCACCTCCGTGGGGTTCCTGGGTGTCCCCCACGGTGCCCTGCTGGGGGCAGGAGCCCCCTGGCCTGCCTCTGAGGGCAAAGCTGTGGCCTTCTCAGGGTGGTCCCCATTGTGATGTGCAGCGGTGACCTCATCAGCAGAGCTCTGAAACCGAGGAAGAGCAGGCACCGTGCGAGAAGGGGGAGCCCTGCGTGCCCAGCTCCAGGCAAGGGGAAAATGCCACGATCCACAGAAGCAGACTAAGTCCAGGTCAGCCAACCTTTTGGCCTCGAGGGCGGAGAGAGAGAGGCGAACGAGGACTCTCATGGGAGCACCCGTCTCCTCCGCATCCCACCCAGGCTACCGAAACGGTGACCGGCACAGCCATGCCTAAGCGAAATGCCCCGGCCATCGGGATCGACCTCGGCACCACCTACTCCTGCGTGGCTGTCTGCCAGCACGACAAAGTGGAGATCATTGCCAACGACCAAGGGCACCGGACAACCCCCAGCTACGTGGCGTTCACCCACACCGAGCACCTGGTGGGGGACCCGGCCAAGAGCCAGGCCTCGCTCAACCCGCAGAACACGGTGTTCGACGCCAAGCGGCTGATGGGCCGGCGGTACGAGGATGCCTCCGTGCAGGACGACATCGGCCACTGGCCCTTCACTGTGGTGAACCATGAGGAGAAGCTCAAGGTCCAGGTGTCCCACAAGGGCAAGACACGGACCTTCTATCCCGAGGAGATCTCTGCCATGGTGTTGGCCAAGATGAAGCAAACCGCGGAGGCCTACTTAGGCGGCCCCATCTCCCAAGCCATCGTCACGGTGCCGGCCTACTTCAACGATGCCCAGCGCCAGGCCACCATCGACGCCGGCACCATCGCCGGCCTCCAGATCCTGAAGCTCATCAACGAGCCGACGGCTGCCGCCATCGCCTACGGGCTGGACGTGAGGCACCAGGAGGGGACAGGCTGCCGAAACATCCTCATCTTCGACCTGGGCGGGGGCACCTTTGATGTTTCCATCCTTGCTGCCGAGGACGGCATCTTCGAAGTGGTGGCCACGGCGGGAGACACTCATTTGGGCGGGGAGGATTTCGACAAGAGGCTGGTGGGTTACCTTGCGGAAGAGTTCAGGAAGAAGCACAGGAAGGACCTCCGTCTGGACAAGAAGGCCATGCAGAGGCTGAAGATAGCTGCCGAGCGGGCCAAGTGCACCCTCAGCTCGTGCTCCAGCGCCAGCATCTCCATCGACTCGCTCTGCCAGGGGATCGACTTCCACACGGCCATCACCCGGGCGCGCTTTGAAGACCTGTGCTCAGACCTCTTCCGGGCCACCTTAAAGCCCCTGGAGGGGGCACTGAAAGACGCCAAGATGAGCAAGGGCGACATCATGGACATTGTCCTGGTGGGGGGCTCCACCCGCATCCCCCGCATCCAGAGGCTGCTGAAGGACTTCTTTAACGGGAAGGAGCTGTGCAAAGGCATCAACCCGGACGAGGCCGTGGCCTACGGAGCTGCCATCCAGGCCGCGGTTCTCACCGGCAACCGCACCCCCAAGACACAGAACGTGTTTCTGCTGGACGTCACCCCGTTGTCCCTGGGGATCAACACCCAAGGGGGGGTCATGGCGACCATCATCAAGCGCAACTCCCCCGTCCCCACCAAGGAGACAATGGAGTTCACCACCACGGAGGACGAGCAGGACACCATCCTGTTCATGGTGTACGAAGGGGAGCGGGCACTGACCAAGCACAACCACCTCCTGGGCACGTTCTCCTTGAAGGGCATCCCTCCAGCCCCCTGTGGCGTCCCGGTCATCGCCGTCACGTTCTCTATCGACGAGAACAGCATCCTGACCGTCTCCGCCAAGGATGTGGAGACGGGGAACACCAGCCACCTCACCATCTCCGACACCCGTGGGCGTCTCGGCAAGGAGGAGATCGAACAGATCGTGCGGAAGGCCGAGGAGTTCCGGGCGAACGACGTGGCCCAGCAGGAAAAGATCGAAGCCGCGAACTCCCTGGAGTCCTGCACCCTGGAACTGAAGAGGGTGGCAGAGGAGCAGGTGCTGGACGTGAAGGCCAAGAGGAGGATGCTCAACCTGTGTGAAAGCACCACGTCCTGGCTGGAGGGGAACCCGCTGGCGGAGAAGGACGAGTGTGAGCAGCGGCAGAGAGACCTCCAGGAAGCGTGGGCGGCCATCTGCGCCTCCCTTGCTCTGCGCGAGGGAGCCGACGGGGCCTCCGAGGAGGCTCCGGACGTGCTGCTGGGCGGTAACAGCGAGCCTCCCGGGGGAAAAGAGTGACTCGCCGCCAGAGTGCACCGGCTCCCCTGCAGGGCGCATAAAGTTCGGGTTGAAAAAGGACCCTGCTCAGCCTCTTTGATGTATGTGTGCTTAGCTCAGTTTACTTTTCTATAAAGTGCCCGAGATCGTATCCCTAGAATCAAAATAAAAATTAGAAAGGCTTACCCAAGAAAACATGCCAATAAATTACGAAGTTGCAAAAGAGGCACTTGGGCAACTCTGACAATGTACCTAAGCAGGACGAAGCCCCAAAATCCAGCTTTGGCCTGGCACGCAGGTGACCGCCATGCGCAAACACAAAAGCTGCTGCACCTCCATATCTTAGATGCCCAGAAGCAAGTTTCTAGCCCTTAGGAGGCTCTCAGACTAGGGACGGGCGTGTTTAGAAATAACTGTGGTACTTAATGCAGGGACTGGGTGAGCTGTGTGTCCACCTGCCATCCTGGGCTGCTCTGGATGGACGACGGCGGCCCCCACCTTTGGTTCCTTGAGCTTCAAGCTGGATTTGGGCTGCTCAGCCCTTGAAAAGGAGGAGAGCTTCAAACAGAGGACCGCCCTCTGTGGAACAGGACTCAGGGCCACCTGCAACGGGATGGCTAGGATAGGATAGGATGGAGAAGGCAGGGCAGTCAGCAGGCGGGGGGCACGGACAGACGCTGCTGTATACTGGGTTGCTGAATGCGTGTGTGGCTTTGCGCTACAAGTCTCAGAGCAGCTCAACTTTAGGACAGCCTGAAGCCAAAACCCGTCAATAATTAGAAGCAATCGCTAAGAAGTGGCTTTAAAAACCACAGTGGTCATTCAAGCAAGACAAATTCAATCTTCTTGAAGAATCTCTCTCTCTCTCTCGTACCCATGGTACCCTTTATTTGTGTGTGTGATAATGTTTGTGCCACACATTCTTTGAGTAATGAACAACAATAATTTTTAAAAGACAACTCATAAAAGCTATCAAACAATGACAACCATGAAAGCGAAATCGGACACACCCACCCACCCAGATGCAACTCTGGGGAAATGTTAGACAGACAGAGCTAAATAGCATCAAAGGCTCTTTAGCAGTAAAGCTTAACAGAACATTGGAAAGATGGAGCGCACACAACGGACTTGCTTTGATTTTTGAAGACCTAGCATCTTTCAAGTCCCTTCTCTGCTGGGACAAGCCATGATCTCCTGGCCTCAGTTCCCCACCTGTGAAATGGAACTACTGGCTCCTTGCCAGGACCTTTGGGCCCTACCACCTAACAGGGAACCACCTGCTGCCTTGGGATGGTTCCATGTCAAAACTGGGGGGGGGGGCGCTGCCCGCGCCTCGCCCACTGCGGCCATGAGCGGTCCTGCGTGGGACAAAGCAGTCCCGGTCCAGGCAGAGCCACTCACGCTCCCGGTTCAGCTGGAAACATTCCCCGGTCGGTCTGGCGCGTGCCCTTTTCCCAGCTCATCTGCGGAAGGAAGGTTCTCCTCCAACCTCTCCCAGCTGCTGCTGAAGCATTTCGCTTTGCGCAGAGCCACATTTTACCGGCCGCTGCTTTTTCGTGCCAAAGCCACACACACGCCGTGGAACCATGGAAAGAAGAAAGCCGGGGAGGGAGGAGGGGGAGAAAGCCCACCCCGCCATCTCTTTGTTCCCGTTCCAATCACGCCTGCCCGTGATCTTCGTTCTGCAGAGCTGCTGCCCTTCGCCCGTCTGGTTCCCGGTCCTTTTCCCCAGGTGGCCCGTAGGCCTGGGGCTGCCGCCAGGAATCCTCTCCACCCCTTTCCGTCAGAGGATTATGTGACTGGAAGTTCCTTGGGGCAGAGAGAAGCACCAGTTCTCTTGCGCTCTGCAGCTTTCCCTTCACAGTAATGGTGTGATTTAAGAATGTGAAAGATGCAGCAGGCCAAAGAGCCCAAACTGCAAGCTGTGGGTGGCAGGATGCGGGTGACCCGTGGGGAGGGCCATGGAAGCAAAATGGGCTTTTCCGAATCCCCTAATGCTATCAGGGTTTTTAAGGGGGAAAGGGAAGTCCTGAGTCCCTGGGGCCCACAACCAAGAAGGCCCTGCCCTGTTCCCCTGCCAGCCGACCCTGGATGGCAGAGGGACACGGTGCAGAGCCTCTTCCGATGGCCTGAGGTGGGCAGGATGGGGCCCAGGCCGTGTGGGCAGCAAACCTGCTGAGGGACTGCAGGGACCTGGGGACCCATTGTGACACGTGCCACGTCGGTGCACCCTCTGCCCCCGGGGAGACACGCAAGGGGAGAGGCCGCGAAGCTCTCCTCCCCCAGCGCCACGGAGACCTGCCCCCCACCGGCGTTGCCAGTCTTCCATCGCTGGCAGGTGGCCTGGGGCCCTTGGGAACCGTGGGCCCATGGGAGCGGACATGAGCCACGAGGCAGCCCGGGAAGCCACCGCCCGCGGCCCCCTGCCACGGTCCACCCCCACGCCCAGAACGGCCTGGGGCAAGGCCCGCCCCAAGGGGGGGCCGGCCGTGGGCATCGACCTGGGCACGACCTACTCGTGCGTGGCTGTCTGTCGGCGGGGGAGGGTGGACGTCATTGCCAATGGTCACAGCAACCGGACCACTCCGAGCTGCGTGGCCTTCACGGACCGGGAGCGGCTGGTGGGGGAGCCGGCGGAGATGCAGGCCGGCCGCAACCCGGAGAACACCGTCTCCTGCCTGAAGCGCCTCATTGGCCGCAGCTACGAGGACCCCGTGGTCCAGGCCGAGCTGAAGCACTGCCCGTTCCGCGTGGTGGAGGGCAGCCACGGGCAGGCCAAAGTCCAGGTGTCGTACAGGGGGCTGGAGAGGGTTTTCCACCCCGAGGAAATCTCTGCCGTGCTGCTCTTCCGGCTGAAGCAGCTGGCCGAGGCCCACCTGGGCCACCCGGTGACCCGGGCCGTCATCGCCGTCCCCGCCTACTTCGGGGACGCCCAGCGCCAGGCCACCATCGACGCGGGCGCCATCGCGGGCCTCGGCGTCCTGGCCTTGATCAACGAGCCCACCGCTGCGGCCGTCGCCTACGGCCTCGATGGCGGCAGCCACTGGCAGGCGGAGAGGCGCATCCTGGTCTTTGACCTGGGCGGGGGCACCTTTGACGTCTCCATCCTCATGGCCCGGGACGGCATCTTCGAAGTGGTGGCCACCGCCGGGGACCCCCACCTGGGCGGAGCGGACTTTGACCGCAGGCTGGCCGACCACCTCGCCCAGGAATTCAAGAGGAAGCACCAGGGGGATCCGACCCAGAGCAGGAGGGCGATGGAGAGGCTGAGGGCGGCCTGTGAAAAGGCCAAGCGAGCGCTCAGTTCGAGCGTCACGGCCACCGTCTCCGTCGACTCCCTCTACCAGGGCGTGGACTTCCACACCGTGGTCACCAGGGCTGTCTTCGAGGACCTGTGTGCGGACCTCTTCCAAGCCACCCTGCTGCACGTGGAGAAGGGCCTGGAGGACGCCGGCCTCGGGAAGACCCAGCTGCACGACATCGTGCTGGTGGGGGGCTCCACGCGCATCCCCATGGTCCAGAAACTTCTGTCGCAGTTCTTTGACGGGCAGGAGCTGCGCAGGGCCATCAACCCGGAGGAGGTGGTGGCTCATGGGGCCGCCATCCAAGCCGCCACCTTGACCGGCCACAGGTACCAGAACCTTCAGAACCTGCTCCTCTTGGAGGTGACCCCCGTCTCCTTGGGACTGGAGACCGTCGGGGGCGTGATGGACGTCGTGGTCAAGCGCAACTCCCCCATCCCGACAAGGGAGACCCGCAACTTCTCCACCACGGAGGACAACCAGAGCAGTCTCTTCCTGCAGGTCTATGAAGGGGAGCGCACGCTGACCAAGCACAACCGGCTCCTCGGGACCATCACCCTGAGCGGCCTGCGGCCTGCCCCTCGCTGCGTGCCCGTCATCGTGGTCACCTTCCACATCGATCAGAACAACATCCTCACGGTCTCCGCCATGGAGAGGTCCTCCGGGAACCACAACCAGCTCACCATCACGGACACGCGGGGCCGGCTGGACAGAGAGGAGATGGAGCGCATCCTGCGCGAGGAGGAAGAGCACCGGGCGCACGAGCAGGCGGAGGAGGAGAAGCGGGCAGCCCTGAATTCGCTGGAGTCCAGCGCCCTTCAGCTGAAGAGGGTGGCCGCAGCGGGAAAGGCCCTGGACGACCGGGCCAAGAGGAGAGTGCTGGAGATGTGCGAGGAGACCGCCGCGTGGATGGAGGGCAACCGGCACGCCCCCAAGAAAGAGTACGAGGCTCGGAGGAGGGAGCTGGAGGACACCTGCTGGTCCATCATGGCACATTTTGGCACAGATGGAGAGAGGCCCTAAGAAGTGCCAGGGGAGAAAATTAATGCAGGGTAGGCTGTACGGCGCATTAAAAAAGAAGACGAGTGGGTGGAAGCATTCTGCTTTTTCCAGGTGGCTGAGCAGCGGCAAGACGGTGCTCGTGACCGGCAGCCAAAGAACGCCATCGGATCTGCAACTAAACGTTGCAGCGCATTCCCCCCCCACCACTGGACTGCTCTTGCCCAGCTGGCCAGCAGCCGAACTTTCCTCAAGGATTCCTTGCCCAGCCTGGTGCCTAGCAGAAGTGTTGGCCTGCAACTCCCACCAACCACACTGTTAGGGGATGATGGGACTTGCAGTCCAGTGTATGTGGCTGCTACCAGGCTGGAGGAGGCTGGGTTTGACTATGCTGGAGGAGAACCTAGCTCTGGGTTCTCCAGTGTGGCTCCCAGGTGCTCCCACGGCCCGGGCACCTGAGGGTGCCCTGCCCCTTCCGAGTCACCTGTATGCATTTAGCTCGAGCTGGCACTCTGCAGAGCAGGGGGGTGCACAGGCTGGGCCTGGGGTCCAGGGCTCCCCGGCCTGGGGTGCACCCACACGAGGGCTCCAGGGTGGCAGAAGCAAGTCCCCCTTTCTTCCAGGGGTGCCCACTGTGCTTACAAGGTGGGGCCACACCTGCTCAGAGGTTGGTGCGTGTGTCTTTCAAGCAGGGTGACTCAGGCACCTGGAAGCATTGGCGGGGGGGGGGGGTAGGCGCACAGCGGGCCTGGCCTCCTGGCGCACCGGCGTCCCGTTCTTGCCGCCACGGGGCACGAGCGCTGGGCGGCCGGCCAGGCCCCTTCGGCGGCCGTCGGGTGGCCGCTCCGCGGGCGGACGGGCGGACGGGCCTCTGGGCACAGCGCGGGACACGGAGGGGGCGCGCAGGGCGGGCCCAGGCGCGCCTCGGCCCGGGGAACGGGTAGCAAGCGCGTCCCGGCGCGCCGAGTGCTTGGCAAGGGAGGCACCGTGGGGCGCGCGGGCTGGGGATCGGGCGCACGCGGCCAGGGACTGGCCGGCGGCGCCCTGCGGCGGGGGGCCCTTCCAGCGCAGCCCACCCACCTCCCAGGCGGTCCCCCACATCGCGGGGGGCGGCGGGCGGGGGTTGCGCGCGCAGGGCCGCTCGCTGCGCGATCCACACCAGCCGCCAAGGCCGAGCTCTGGGGGAGCGCCGTGGCTGAACGGGGGGGGCGCGTGTTCAGCCGCCCCCCCCCGCGCGGCACGACGAGCCCCGGGCCTCCCGGGCCGGGCCAGCTCCACGCCCGCGGCGCGGCGCGGCGCGGCGCGGCGGGCTGGCCCGGATGGCTGGCCGGGAGGGCCGCGCGGGAGGACGCGCCGCCTGCGAGCTGGCGCTCCCCGCGCCGTTTCCTATAAGCCGCAAATTATCATGCGTGCCGCTTCTCTCGGCGGTAATAAGCTTTAATCACTGTGAAGTCATTTGATTTCCCTGTACCGCGATTTGGCTGTAATTAATGGCCACTTACGGGAAGGGGAAGGGAGGGGTGCTTACGGGTGGCTCTCCCCCACCCCTGGGAAGGGTGGATTCCTCTCGCTCTCTCCCTTTCTTTCTTTCTTCGCCTTCAAGAAGATGAATAACATTTGGAGAGCTCAGATAGAAACTGCCAGAAATATGGCTGATTGGAAGTCCTCCAGGGGGCTGAACGCGCACCTGTCCTAAGAGCAGACCGGCACCATCAGAGAAGGGAAGAGGGTGCAGGATCCGTGCTCATGCAGCAAAAGAGCACACCATGTGCCCTTGGGGTCAGCATTTAGCATCCGACAGACATCGCCTCTGATGCAGTTTTCTAGTCCTCATGATATGCTTGTTTTCTTTAAATAGACGTTCACCCATCATTGTGGTTTTCCTTTAAAAAAACAAACAAACAAGTTTCTAGACCTTGTGCCTGTTTTGGGATTTTAACGTGCTATTAGTGGTCATGCCTGTGTTCCTTTTTTAAAAAAGAACATTCCCAGCCCTTGTGGCATTTGTATATTTGTGAAGCCAGCTCCTGACCTGGATAACGACATTAATTTCTCTTAAGCAAGTTTCTAGGACTCATGGCTGGGCCCTCCTCCTGCTTTTCCAAAGCACCTTTATGTCCCTCTTGGCTGTGCCACTCTATGCCTGAAAGTGTGTGGGGGCCACACATGGAAGGCCCAGGGGCTGAATAAGGCCAGGAGCTGGGCTTTGGGGCTCTCTCCCTCGCTAGGAAAAGCAGTAGAAACTGCACCAAACAACAGAGCAAAATCAGAACTATACAGATAATGGGAATAGGTAAATAATCTGCAGGGTTTCTATGCAGTGTGTTGCGGTTATTCGCTCTGATTTCTTTCACTTTGCTTTTTAAGACGAGACAACTACATGCAGGGCAGCCTTCTTGACAGTGGGATCCATGTCCGGATGCAGCACTGCAGGCCGCGGGGTGCGTGACGGGGCGGGAGAGCCCCCGCATGCCTGCCTGGGGAGGCTGCTGGATGCAGGGCAAGACGGATCCGCTCCAGCGAGGCGCCGCTGCTGCTTGTGAGGCGCGGGGTCTGGCACTTCCAGGTGGGGGGGCAAGTGATTTGGGCCCCGCCTGTGTCATTCTTGGGCTTGCTGCAGCTTTGCCGGCCACACACGTTCCACGCTTATTCTTGCCTCTCCGCAGAGGATTCCCTTCCTCTTCTGTCTTTCTTTTTCTCGTATGATTGCTTCTTCGTGTAGATGGTTGCCTCCTCTGGCATATTTATGCAGGGGAGATGCCTGGCCCCTCCCTTACAATGTTTCGTGATTTTCTGGAAAAGGCAGCAACATCTCAAAATACTTTCTGATGCTGTTGTGAACCAGTTCGAGCAGGGCAGTGCCGGGGAAAAGCAGCAGGCAAGAACCATGTGGCGACGAACTGGCTCTGAGCTCCAAGCAGGCAAGAAATACGGACACTGGGGATCCGGCCACAAGCAGCGCCCGTTCCTCTGCACGGGGTCAGAGACCGGCTGTGGGAGGTGCTCATGGGGGAACGGCAGGGGGGCAAAGGGTTATGGTGAGCTGCAGGGAGAGAGGAAAGTTCAGACATGCACCACACAGGTCTTTGTGGGCAGGACACGGGTGTCATGTCCAGGAGCCCGCAGCCCTCCCTTCGATGGCTCCCACTGTCTTCCAGTGAACTCTTTGCATGCTCTAACCCCCCTCAGATACTGTCAGAGCTCACCACAAAGAAAGGAGAGGCTGAGGGCAGGACCCTGCCAGAAATGGCCACCCAGGGAGCAGCAGGGGCAGAGAGAGATGTCTTCTCATGGACGGGGATGACACGTGAAGGGGCTGTTGATTTGTGCAGCTCTGAAACGCAAGTGGCACGGAGGTCAGGGCTAGCAAACAGTTCTGCCGCCGCTGCTCCAACGCGCTGCTTTTGACGTGGTCGCGGGGAGGCCCCAGCAGGCCCAGAGAGACCCCTCTCGGTGCCTGCCGCCTCCCCCCCTCCCCGGTGGCGCTGCTCTTCCATAGAGATGGTTCTTGCTTTTGCGTTGCATTGAACCAGCGTTTTGCTTGCTTTTATATTTTAACGGCTTGCGTGGCGTTTTGTTCCTCCAGCCATTCGTACTGTGCTCCAGGAAGGTTTGTCATGGGCAGTCAAAAGATAACCAACCAAAGAAGGGTTCCCCCTCGCTGCCTTCCTGAAGGGGCACCCGGTGCCTCGGCCTCGCAGCGGCCGCATTCACTGCTGTTCAAGAGTTTGCCCTCTGGGAACGGAGCGTTTTGTGCCCACCCGTGCCCATCCTGGCAAGCCCCACGCCCACTGTGGCGGTTTTGCACGACTGCCACCTCGTCCCTTAAAGCTCCAAGTCATTCCCCCTGGGAACCCTGTAAGCACAGCAAGAACGCAGGAGCAGAGCACGGGGGGGGGGGGGGTCTGAGGGAGCAGAAACAGCCATTCTCTGCTTCACAGCCGAGGCAGCGAGGGCCCTGCTCCAAGGTCAGGGTCCGAAATAACCTGGCTGCACCACTGCTAACGCACACCGCCTGGGGAAAAACGGGATACGATGCACGGAAGGTCTTCAGCGCTCCTCCGCTCCTGGATGAGAGCCTCGCAAAACGCCGCAGCCATGCCTAGCGCTTGCTTTTGGTGTGGGGCGTGTGTGTCAGCCCTGCGAGAGTCGGGAAACGTTCCCCACCTCCCATCCCTTTGCTCCAGGGAAACCCGGCCACGGGCCGTGGCACACGCCCTCCAAAAGCAGCCCTGCCACGCAGGCCTGGGGCTTGCCCCTCGGCACCAGCGTTCGGGCACGGCCTGCCTCTGCGTGGCTCTGCCCGCGAGGAGCGGGGGATCACTGCCGGCGCCTTGTGAGTGGCTGGCTGCCGAGGCCCCGGGGGCGCTCTAAGCCTCCCCGTGCCGCTTGGGCCCAGCCGGCTGCGCCAGGCACCCCCGGCCCCGGCCCCGTTGTGCTCTCTCCCCCCCACTGTGCAGCGCTGGGCAGCTGTTGGGGTGGGCCATGCCGGAGCGGGGGGCTCGCGAGAGCCGTGAAACACATCCGCCGGTGCCTCCCCCGCTGCCCACCCAGGGCCGGGGGTCAACGAGGGGCCTCGGGGGGAAAGGTGCTAATGGCCGAGCCCGGCTGTCAGGCCGACTTAGCCAGCGAGCCTCCGCGGCACAGGCTGATGGGGACGGACAGCTGGCCCGGCTTTGACCTTTGCACCAGAAGCGACAGCGAGAGAAGGCCGGGGAGTCAGTCCGCGGCAGAGGCGGCGAGCGCCGGGGGGTGCCAGGTGCTCCCTTCTCGGCCAGCAAAGCACACGCGCTGGGAGGCCCCGCAGGGGCTTGCAAAGCCCCGGGGGTGGAGGGAAGCCCCATGGCACGGCTGCTCCCTGGGGTCTCCGGGAAACACAGAACGGCTTCATGCCTGGGACTCGGTGAGCACGGCAGCCTGCCGGGGGCAAGGAGGCCGAGCCGGGGGGGCGTGGGTCCAGCTCGTGCGCAGCAGGTGCTGGGCCCCCAAGTGACAGGGATGCCCGAGAGGGGCTTTGCCTCCTG